AAACAAAGGCTTTAGATTGGGAGCCACAGGGGGTTCCAGTGTGAATTCCTTAACAGGGCCGGGAAGGATTATATCCTAATAATAATAATAATAATAATAATAATGCCCTGGCTGGTTTGGCTCAGTGGATAGAGCATCGGCCTGCGGACTGAAAGGTCCCAGTTTGATTCCCGGTCAAGTTCACAATCCCTGGTTTTGAGCTCGATCCCCAGTGTGGGGCGTGCAGGAGGCAGCCAATCAGTGATTCTCATCATTGATGTTTCTCTCCCTCTCCCTTCCTCTCTGAAATCAATACAAATACTTTTTTTAAAAAAAAAAAATATTACCAACAACAACCCCTATCAAAGGCAAGAGGTGGGAATTAAAGATTGAAAGACTGAACGACCACTTCCTAGAAGACACCTCAGCTCCCCCGAAGTGACACGCCGTTCCCCGAGTCTGACCGTCAGGACCAAGCGACCTCGTCGCTTCATCCGCAAGGTCGTATTCGTGTGTGTGCCCGGAGGGCTGCGGGCACCCCGTCTCCGCCGCGGCCCTGGGGAAGGAGGTGACGTCACACCAGGACCCCACCCTGCATGCCGAAAACTGGGTCCCTCTCGGCATTTCCCCAGCAGCTGTGGGGTCTTCACAGGGTCCCCCCTCAGCTCTGAGCCCCAGGGAGGGTGAGAGCAGGGATCCCTCCCCGCTGCATCCCGCCCGCCCTGCCCTTGGGGCGCCGTGAGTGGCCCGGCCCCGCCTGCAGAGGGAAGGCCGAGCTGGCGGGCACACGTCTCAGCGATGAAGAAAACCCAGTTCTGTGGACCCGTCGGAGAGCAAACAGTCATATAAAACCCATTTGGCGCGGGAGCTGGAAGCGGAGGTTATTTTAAGAGCTCGGGGACAGATGGCTTCGTTTGCGTCTTCCCGAGAGATGGCGCTCTGCGGGAGCACGGCGCCGGGTCTGCCGAGGCCAAGGGCGGGCACTGCCTCGCGCCACGCGCTGCGTCTTCAATCTGGAGGAGCGGAGCTTGATGCGGAATGTTGGTGCATTTCCATCTGTCCGTCTCCGAGGGCGGGCCTGTGTTCTTGGCATGTTCCCAGGCTCAAGTTTTTCAGTGCATCGCCTTCTAACTGGTAAAGTCTAAGTCGTCAGGCCCCAGAGGAATGTCAGTAGATCTGAGCTAAAACATACAGGCTCCCGCCCGGCCGGTGTGGCCCAGAGATTGGGCATCAACCCGAGAACCAAGAGGTCACGAGTTCGATTCCTGGTCAGGGCACATGCCCGGGGGATGTCTCTGTCTCTTTATTCCTCTCCCTTCCTCTCCCTTCCTCTCTCTCTAAAACTCAATAAAGAAAAAATTAAAGAAATAAAAGTATAGGCTCCCACCTTAAGAACACCGGATGTTCCATTTTTAAAGATAAAAATTCTGCTAAAATGTCAGGTAGTTAATAAAAATTACCACCAGATTAAAAAAACATAACCAACTCTGCCGGTGTGGCTCAGTAGTTGAGCTTTGACCTATGAACCAGAAGGTCACAGTTGGATTCCCGGTCAGGGCACATGCCCAGTTGCAAGCTCGATGCCCAGCAGGGGGCGTGCAGGAGGCAGCTGATGGATGATTCATCATGGATGTTTCTATCTCTCTTCCTCTCTGAAATCAATAAACATATTAAAATATGTATAAATATACAATATATATATACATGTATGTGATTACAATGGTACAGAACTCTTCTTGAGGAAAGAAAACTGCAATAAATACCCTGAAATGGAAGTGAAAACCTTTGCCATTTCCTTGATGAGAGTCACCTTCACTGTGACACTGAACTTGGCCTGGCCTGGGCCCACAAGCAGGTCCGGCAGAGGCTCCTGGGATTGCTGGGCCTGGCTGGCTGGCATCCCGGCCTCGTCCGCACCTGCCCTGCCTGTGCCAGCCCGATGAGTCTGCCTTCCCGCAGCCTGTCTGCAGTCCCGAACGCGCTGTCCGGACCGCTGGCCGCGTGGACTGGCACGGCCTGGCACAGTCTCCGTCCGCCGTGAGGACGCCGCGGCCCTGGGAGGGCGGGAAGGGTGTGAGGAGCCGGAGCCGGCGAGGCAGAGTGAGGCCGCCGCACGGAGGAGTTCACGTTTATTTAACATGCAATCACGGTGTAATTACAGAGCAATTATTTCATATGGGCATGCTACGAGAATTAAAATAATTGGCAAAAAGACTAAAATGAATGGGTTCCGTGGCAGCTTTCATGTCACCGCACCGGCTGGTGCTAAAAAGGATCAACAAAGCAGCCCAGGTGTCGCTTCCTGTTTTGTCTGCTCAGTCTCCCGACCGCTCATCCGCCCGTCTGCTCAGCCACCAGTCCCCTCAGCCTCCATCCCCTCAGCCTCCCGTCCCCTCAGCCTCCCGTCCGCTCAGCCTCCATTCCCTCAGCCTCCATCCCCTCAGCCTCCCGTCCCCTCAGCCTCCCATCCCCTCAGCCTCCCGTCCCCTCAGCCTCCCGTCCGCTCAGCCTCCCGTCCGCTCATCCACCCGTCCACTCAGCCTCCATCCCCTCAGCCTCCCGTCCGCTCAGCCTCCATCCCCTCAGCCTCCATCCCCTCAGCCTCCATCCCCTCAGCCTCCTGTCCCCTCAGCCTCCCGTCCATCCCTCAGCCTCCATCCCCTCAGCCTCCTGTCCACTCAGCCACCCATCTGCTTAGCCACCAGTCCTCTCAGCCTCCATCCCCTCAGCCTCCTGTCCGCTCAGCCACCCGTCTGCTCAGCCACCAGTCCTCTCAGCCTCCCGTCTGCTCAGCCTCCCGTCCGCTCAGCCTCCATCCCCTCAGCCTCCTGTCCACTCAGCCACCCGTCTGCTCAGCCACCAGTCCTCTCAGCCTCCCGTCTGCTCAGCCTCCCGTCCCCTCAGCCTCCCATCCTCTCCCAACTCGACGATGCTAAATTGCTACTTGACGACTGACTATGCAAACCACTCATTTCTTATGAAGAAAAACAAGGAACTTTCCCGATCCTACAAGCGAGTTAAACAGAAAAAAGAAAAAAAAATCCTTCTCCCTGGTCCTGCGGCCTTTGCCGTGACAGGCTCTCGGGGTTAAAGGGACCTGACAGGTGCCAGGGGGAAGGTCCCGCACGCTGTGTCGGGTCATTGCAGGAAGTGATGCTGGCGCAGAGCTGAGTCAGCTCAGGTGTGAGTGCTCGCCTTGCCTGCGAGGCCCTAGGACAAGCTGCAAAGATCAAGTTCACGAGTTTCTTTTAAAACTAAGGACCGGTTTCCCCGTGCTGCCCGCGCCCCGTGGCGAGCAGAGGAGCCGGAGGTGACGTGTGGAGCTTGGCCCCCGGGAGGGCTGGGCACATGCTCCCCGCAGGCCGGTCTGTGCCTCTGGCACCTCACGGACCGCCCGCCCACCCGATGGCGGCCGGGGTCTTCGGGGTGACCCTGGGGCAGGAGCATTCGTGCCTGCACACCGCCCACACGCACCAGAGCCTGCCTGAGCCCCTGACACTGAACAAAAACAACAACCACGGATACAGGAGGGACGGGAGAAGATGAAAGCAGGGCAAGGACAAGCTGGTGTTCCTCTGGGGACCGGAGAGCCAGCAGAGAAGCGGGCGAGGTGCTCCGATTAGGAACTGCTGAGCCCGGCGTTCGTCTGCCCCTCCGCCCGCGAACTGGGCCGCCTCCGCTGGCCCCGGGGACCTCGCAGGTGCTGCCTGGGAAAGTAGGTCTTCCGAGCAGCGGGAGGAGGGGAGTGTCTTAAACGGGATGCGCGCTGAGCGGCGCCGAGGCCTTCTCCAGAGCAGAGCTGCACTGGCTGCGGCAGACGGGGGTCCTGAGGGCAGGTCTTCGCCCGGACCCCGAGCCGGGAGTCCCTCTCAGTGTCTAGCAGATCATCTGGCTGCCACCTAGTCCCACGAGCTCAGTGGTCAGCGCACTGCGGCTCGCGAGCCACATGCGGCTCTTTGGCCCCTTGAGTGTTTAGCAAAAAGGCCAGGCGAGGAGTACCCTAAGTAAGTTAATAACAATGTACCTGTCTAAATAGTTTAACTTTAAAAAATGTGGCTCTCCAGAGAAATGTCAACCGTTGTCCTGTTGATGTTTGGCTCTGTGGACTGAGGCGTTTGCCAGCCACGGGGCTAGGCGATAAGCATCGCGGTGATGTCATTATTCCTGTTCTCCGGTCACCCCGATGCTGCAAACCCACCGCAGGCCATCGAGAGCCTCAGGGAGGAGCCGGTTCTGCTCCCAGGCTGCCTTCCTACCATCCTGTGGGGGGCTCCGGCCAGGCCTTTCCGAGCCCGGCGTTGCTGACTCCACAGAGCGCTCTCTCTGCTGCCGCCAGCCACCCACCCGGAGCTCAGACCAGCCGGCCGGCCACCGCGGCTCCCTGGTTGAGCATCAGCCTATGACCCAGGAGGTCACGGTTTGATTCCTGGCCAAGGGCACAGGCCTGGGTTGCAGGCTCCAACCCCCAGTAGGAAGCGCGCAGGAGGCTGCCAGTCAGTGATTCTCTCATCGCTGATGTTCCTCTCTCTCCCTTCCTCTCTGAAATCAATCAAAACACATTTTTTTTTTCTCGGTGCCATATAGGGCGTCCCCCGAGAATGCATATGACACTTTGAATAATGACAAAGGCATGTTTATTAAAATACCTCTATTTTCAAAATTGAGCTGTTAGCGACTAACGTGTGTGTATATGTGTTTTGACAACCGGTACGTGTAGTTTCTGAAATCGCTGCTGTGTGTGTATTTCATAACGTGTGGGTTTTTCCGAAGGCTCCTATTTAGTGTGTGTGGTGTGTGTGTGTGTGTGTGTGTGTGTGGTGATGAGGATTTTACCCAGTAACATGAGCAGTCCCAGGTTAACTGTCAAGGGGAACTAGTTCAGCGCAGAGAATCTAGCTTGCTGAGCTCCTTGGACACTTCGCTGTTGCGTTTGGGAGGGACTGTGCCTGCTCAGCAGGCTGGGGAAGGCTGGAGGGAGGGTGTCGGCGACAAACCTAACGTCTGTCCCTATCGCATTCCAGGCGCACCTGCAGACTGGATCAGGCCGAGGGACCTGAGTGGGCGAGCCCGGGATGGAGAGCCGCCGCTGAGAGCTCCTGGGGGCGCCCCGGCCTCCGGACACTCCGCAGATCCGTCCCCGCGGCTGCAGAGCGCTCCGCCTCGCCACCCAGACTCCGCGCGGATGTCCGCGGGCCAGGCCGGGGCGGTCCCCCGCTGCTGAGAGGCGCGCGGGCGGGGCGGCCGGCGGGCGGCATGGCCAGGATGCGACCTGTCCCCGCGGGGGCGTCCGGCCTGGCGCTGGGCTTGCTGCTGGCCTCCCTCGCCGGGCCCTCCCTGCAGAGCGGCGAGTGCCCGCAGCTGTGCGTGTGCGAGGTCCGGCCCTGGTTCACGCCGCAGTCCACCTACCGCGAGGCCACCACGGTGGACTGCAACGACCTGCGCCTCACCCGCATCCCCGGCAACCTGTCCGGCGACACGCAGGTGCTGCTGCTGCAGAGCAACAGCATCGCGGCCACGGCCGGCGAGCTGCAGCGGCTCCGCAACCTCACGGAGCTCGACGTGTCCCAGAACAACTTCAGCAGCATCCGCGAGGTGGGGCTGGCCAACCTGAGCCGGCTCACCACGCTGCACCTGGAGGAGAACCAGATCGCCGAGCTGCCCGACCGCTGCCTGCAGGACCTGGGCAGCCTGCAGGAGCTCTACATCAACCACAACCAGATCCGCGCCATCTCGGCGCGCGCCTTCGCCGGCCTGCGCAACCTCCTGCGGCTGCACCTCAACTCCAACCGCCTCGGGGTGATCGACAGCCGCTGGTTCGAGGCCACGCCCAACCTGGAGATCCTCATGATCGGCGAGAACCCCGTGGTGGGCATCCTGGACATGAACTTCCGGCCCCTCGCCAACCTGCGGAGCCTGGTGCTGGCGGGCATGTGCCTCACCGACGTGCCGGGCGACGCGCTGGTGGGCCTGGACAGCCTGGAGAGCCTGTCCTTCTACGACAACAGGCTGGCCCGGGTGCCCCAGCCGGCCCTGCAGAAGGTCCCCAACCTCAAGTTCCTGGACCTCAACAAGAACCCCATCCGCAAGATCCAGGAGGGGGACTTCCGGGACATGCCGCGGCTGAAGGAGCTGGGCCTCAACAACATGGGCGAGCTGGTGTCCGTGGACCGCTTCGCCCTGGACAACCTGCCCGAGCTCACCAAGCTGGAGGCCACCAACAACCCCAAGCTGTCCTACGTGCACCGCCGGGCCTTCCGCGGCGTGCCCGCGCTCGAGAGCCTCATGCTCAACAACAACGCGCTGCAGGCCGTGTACCGGGCCACCGTGGCCTCGCTGCCCAACCTGCGCGAGATCAGCATCCACAGCAACCCGCTGCGCTGCGACTGCGTGCTGCGCTGGGTGGCCGCCAACACCACCAGCATCCGCTTCATGGAGCCGCTGTCCATGCTGTGCACCGCGCCGCCCGAGCTGCGGGGCCGGCCGGTGAAGGACGCGCTGGCCCGGGGCGCCGGCGAGCGCTGCCTGCCCATGATCGCCCGCGACGCCTTCCCCGGCCGCCTGAACGCCGAGCCGGGCGCCACGGTGCTCCTGGACTGCCGGGCCCTGGCCGAGCCGGAGCCCCAGGTCTACTGGGTGACGCCGCGCGGCCGGAAGGTCACGGGGGACACGCGCTCCGACCGGTACACGCTGAGCAGCGAGGGCACCCTGGCCATCGCCGACGTCCGCGCGGAGGACTCCGGCAGGTACACCTGCGTGGCCCAGAACGCCGAGGGGGCCGACACGCGCGTGGTCACGGTGAGGGTCAACGGGACCCTCCCGGACGGGGCCCAGGTGCTGGAGATGTACGTGAAGCAGACCGCGTCCCACTCCATCCTCGTGTCCTGGAAGGTGGCCTCCAACGTCATGGCGTCGAACCTCAAGTGGTCCTCGGCCACCATGAAGGTGGACAACCCGCACATCACCTACACGGCCCGCGTGCCCGTGGACGTCCACGAGTACAACCTCACGCACCTGCAGCCGGCCACCGCCTACGAGGTGTGCCTCACCGTGGCCAGCGTCCACCAGCAGACGCAGCGCTCCTGCGTCAACGTCACCACCAAGACGGCCGCCTTCGCCCTCGGCGTCTCCGACCAGGACGCCAGCACCGCGCTGGCCGCCGTCATGGGCTCCATGTTCGCCGTGGTCAGCCTCGCCTCCACAGCCGCGTACGTGGCCAAGAGGTTCAAGAGGAAGAACTACCACCACTCGCTGAAGAAGTACATGCAGAAGACCTCGTCCATCCCGCTCAACGAGCTGTACCCACCGCTCATCAGCCTCTGGGACGGGGACGCCGAGAAGGACAAGGACGGGGCCGCGGCCGCGGAGGCCAAGCCCACGGCCCAGGTGGACACGTCCAGGAGCTACTACATGTGGTAACGCCGGGCCACGTGGCTGCTGGCGGGAAGGAGCACAAGGACGCGTTTGCTTTATTCTGCAAAAGGGACACGGGGGGACTTGTGTCACGTGTGCTTGGGGCAGGGCGAGGGCACGGCTGGCTATCCCAGTGTTTTTGTTGTTGTTCCTTTGTGTGTTTTTTTTAGCGGAGTGCTATTGATAGTTTGACGTGGCTGGCAGCGAGCCTGGGCTCCCGGAGTGTGTTCGGTTTTTATCCTTATCCTTCTTACGATTATGATTCTATTATGATTACTCTCTGGTTTGGGTTGCTGCCCTGCTAAACTCCCCGATGCTGTGCTAACGGCCGCTGCTCCCTGCGATCATCAGTGACAGGTTGGGGTTCGCTGTGCTGCGGCCAGCAGCGTGACCTCGTCTTCCAAAGCCATCGGCAGAAAGCACCGCGCCGTCCTCCGTCCGAAAAGCGGCTGAGGGGCGGCCCGGAGCCTGGGCAGCCCCCTCCGCGCCCCCCCTCCCCGGTCCACAGACCCCCCGCTCACGTGACCACCCACGGCCGGATGTTACCTGCCCCCAACGGCGTGAGCGCTGTATCCACTGACTTGAATGTTCGCCTTCGAACTCGGCGTTTCCTGTTTGTAACCAGTCGTTAAAGAGGCGTAGGCCGCGCTAACAGGCAATAGAAACACGTAACCTATCAGGTTTTTTTAACGTAACAGACCACATGTCCCTGGTGACCCTGTTCTTTTTATCTCCAGTAGACACTTTCAGGGAAAAAAAAAAAAAAAAAAAGACTGCCGTCGGTGTGCTTCTCTCAGCGCCACGGCGTGTGCGACGAAGACGGGGCTGCAATAAACGAGTTTGGTTCTGATTTTCTAGAACACTGGCAGGGCGCCTCCCGGGGAGTCCTTGCCGGTCACCCAGGGGACCGGCTGCCGCGCGACGCCTCCCAGAACGGGGCCCCAAAGAGTCCCGCCTTCTCTGTCGGGGAGGAAGTACCTGTTTTGATGCAGATGTTTCCATGGACAGGATTCCTGTAGTTTCAATATTACTGACCACACCCAACGGAGGAAACAGTTCCTAGGGAGAAAACGGGTGTATTGCTGAATCCTGTGCATAACTAAACACGGATGCAGATATACATACATATATACATACATGTATATGTGAACACACACACACACACAAGGAGAAACAGAGAGAGGCGTAGGATAGGTCCCATTCCTTCTCTGTAAGGTCTTGTTAAAATCGGATGCTGTAGCAGTCGCCACACCCCACCGGGGTGTCAATCCCCAGTCAGTGGCCCCCCGGGGGCAGTCCGGGCTGCTCCTTTGCTGGCAGCCACCCATCTTAGACCCACGGGCGCCCTCTGGGCGTGGAGACACCTGCAGGCGATGGACAGAAAGCAGAGCGGCTTCCCGGCAGCTGGCAGGTCCCATCCAAGCTCCGGAGAGAGAGGCTGGGGCAGGGTGGGGTGTTTCCGGGAGGTGGCGTGTGGAACAGAACAGAAGGAGGCTGATTTCGGGAGGAGGCCGCTCTGTGGAGGTGGGGTGGACTTCACAGACAGGCTGTTCCCGTGGCACCGGCCGCCAGGCCTCAGGCACACCGGGAGCCTGAGGCTGGGAGAGGGGGGAGCGCCAGCAGGTGCCGCGGAGCACAGCCAGGGAGAGGCAGGAAGGAGCAAGGGTGAGGCCGGATGGAGGATTTTTCTTTAAAAAAAAAAAAAAAAATTGTTGCCGAAACCGGTTTGGCTCAATGGATAGAGCATCGGCTGGGGGACTGAAGGGACCCGGGTTCGATTCCGGTCAAGGGCATGTACCTGAGTTGCGGGCACATCCCCAGTAGGGGGTGTGCAAGAGGCAGCTGGTCGATGTTTCTCTCTCATCCACATTTCTAGCTCTCTATATCTCTCCCTTCCTCTCTGTAAAAAACCAATAAAATATATTTTAAAAAAATAAATTTGTAGATAGATAGATAGATAAATACACAATTTCAGAGAGGAGGGGAGAGACAGAAACATCAATAATGAGAAGGAATCATTGATCCACTGCCTCCTGCACGCCCCCTACTGGGGACCAAACCCGCAATGCAAGCTTGTGCCCTGACTGGAAATCACACCGTGATGTCCTGGTTCCTAGGTCGGCGCTCAGCCACGGAGCCACGCTGCCCGCGTGGGTTTCTTTGGTCAGTGCCTTGTCCGGACTCACTCAGAAAGGCGGGCCGCAGCTCCTCAGGAGCGTGCTTCCTGAGGGTGCGCTGTGTGCGGGCGGGGTCCCGTGGTGTTCCCAGCGAGGGCCCGGAGGGGGGCGGGCAGGAGAGGGAGCCTCAGGTCTGGGCTCCCTGAGTGGCGGCGTCAGAAGGGGACCCTCGATTCGCGTGCCGCCTCTCGCCGCCGGGAAACGTCGGGCGCCGAGCCGAGGGCTCTCGGCTGGAGAGCGGGAAGCAGGCACCCCCGGGGCAGTCAGAGGGAGGAGCTGCGCCGAGCGAGGGAGGAGGAGCGGCTGGCCTTGTGGACGAGGAAGGGAGTGAGGAAAAGTCGGAGCAAAAAGGTACATGACAGGCCGTCCGGCGTGGGTCTGTGGCTGAACACCCACCTCTGAGCCAGGAGGTCACGGTTCCGTTCCCGGTCAGGGCACACGCCCAGGTTGCCGGCTCGATCCCCAGTAGGGGGCGTGCAGGAGGCAGCCGATCCGTGATCCTCTCTCATCACTGATGTTCCTAGCTCTCCCTCTCCCTCTCCCTTCCTCTCTGAAATCCATGAAAACATATATTTTTTTTAAATGCGCACGGCCAGGCGCCCGGGAATAAGCGCGATGAACCCGCAGCCTTTATGGAGCCTCTCGGATGTTGAATCTGCACAATGACCCAGAGGCTCCCCCCCCCCCCCCGTGTCCCTCTGAGGCTCACCGGGGCTGAGCCATTTGCCGAGGTCGCCCAGAGAGCAGGCTCGGGGAGCCCTCCCAGCTCCCGTGCTGGTGGCCGCCACCCCGGCCTGACATCGGGAGCGAGGGAACTGACGGCCGGGGGGACTGCGAGACCTCGCTGCACGACCCTGTGTGTGACGGGGGGGCCCCGGAGGCTCTGCTGGGCCAGGACCACCGTCCGTGGAAGTCAGCGGGCTCAGTGCCCACAGAACTAGTATCCAGCGCTCACACCCAAAGCAGGCCTCGTCGCACAGGAGCTGGAGGAAGACCGCAGCCTCGGCAGCGGGTGTGGCTGCCAGGAGCGGGTGGAGGTGTCCGTAAGAGAAAGTGTCCCCCGCCCCCCACCGCAGGCTGTGGGCCCCAGGCCGCAGGAGGCTGGAGGGACAGGCGGCCAGGCCTCACGGTTGGCGGTTGGAGGGTCCAACAGGGAGACTGCCTCCTCTGAAAGCTGGACAGAAGCAAAAGCCGATCCCCCGACAAGAGGCGGGGGCGAGGGGTCCTCTGGGGCCACAATCACAACACGTGTCCCCACGCCCTCGCACAGTCCGCCTCCAGGGCTGGGAGCACTTGGGGCCAGTGCTGTGAGGCCAATGCAATACTGAGAGGAGAGCTGGGGTGGCGGGGGGGGGGGGGGGTCTACTCCTTCCCCCTCCACCCCCTCGCCTCCCCCCGCCCCATGTCCATCCACAGCAGCCCTGGGTCATGCTGATACCGACGGACACAGCCTCGCCCCCCAGAGGCCATGTGGCCGCCTGTGCCCTCGGCCAGCCCACCTCAGGGATGTACCCCGCCAGCGGGAAAGCCGCCTTCAAAACGGTGTCCCCCTAAATCCAGAGCAGGTGCCGAGCTTGGAAGTCTCCCACAGGACCCCCTGAGACTCCTCGGATCTCTCATTTCTGACATGTCACTGACAACAGCGCACAAATTCAGTTCAGGGGGCGGGAGGGGGGCACCCAAAACCTTCATGGGGAGTTAGAGGGCGATGTGGCTGGCGTCTGCTCACAGCTGAGAGGCTTCGGTCTACAAGGAGCTCAGTGGCCACAGCCAATGTGTCCTCTCCCTCGTCGCTATTCACGCCTGGGTGCGCCCGGGCCAGTGCAGCCTTCGCTACAGCAGCCACGACGGAGGAGCAACGTAGGCACCCATCGACGGTGAATGGCTAGAGAAGCTGCCACACACACACACACACACACATGCACACACATCCCTACACACTGAACGGCTACTCAGCCATAAAACACACACACACACACATGCACACACATCCCTACACACTGAACGGCTACTCAGCCATAAAACACACACACACACACACACACATGCACACACATCCCTACACACTGAATGGTTACTCAGCCATAAAAAATAAAATAAAATAAAAACAAGGAAATCCTACCATTTGTCACAGCATGGACGAACTTGAAGGCATTGTTCTAGCTGAGAGAAGTCAGACAGAAGACCAATACTGTATCATCTCACTGACATATGGAATCTAATAAAAAAGAGCCCACCAAAGAGAGAGAGAGAGAGAGAGAGAGAGAGAGAGAGAGGAGGGAGATGGATGAGAGAGTGAGAGTGAGAGAGAGAGAGAGAGGAGGGAGAGGGATGAGAGAGAGAGAGAGAGGATGAGAGAGTGTGAGAGGAGGAGGGATGAGAGGAGGAGGGGGATGAGAGGAGGAGGGGGATGAGAGGAGGGGCAGCGGGAAGAAGGTGGTCAAAAGGCACACACCTCCAGTTACAGGACAAGCCGGCCCTCGGGGTAATGAACCCCGGGGCCCGCGCTGAGCTCCTGGGCAGGAGGGGGAGCTCCTGAGAGCAGACCCCGAGCCCTCGTCACAGGAGAAGACTCTTCCAGAGGCCATTCCAGTGTGTGTCCGAAGCCCCTGTGCGTGTGCCTCCCCTCACACGTCACGCGGGCCCATCCTTTCTCAATAGACCCGGACAAAAGGAAATTCAGAGAAGAAGAAAGAGGAACATCGTGGTGCACAAGGGACGGTGACGTGAAGAAACAGACACCGGACGGAGCGTAATGAATAACTGCCATCTCCTGCCCGGGGGGAGAGACACAGACTGAGGTTCCTGCAGGACTGCCCAGCGGCATTATGGACCGACCGACTCCGAGGAAAACCCCAGGATCCTCTGCGACGTGGGGTGTTTCCGGAAAACCATTTCCCGGGCGCCAAGACCCGTGCCAAACGCCTCCCTCCCGGGGAAACACACCGACGTGGTCTCCTGCCTCAT